CTGAATGTGCCTGTGCTTTTGAAAAATTGTGCATGATAGGTGTCATACCCCTTCATGCCTCATGAAAATTGGCTTATAACTATGAATATTCATAACTCAAAATGCTTTAGGCAAAATGTATCATATGCTAGATAATGTTTAAAGTTAGTCTCTCCTGAATGGATATATTCTATTTCTGTGCATGTATCATTCTTGTATGGAAAGTTAGAAATATGAATCTGTGTATAAATCTAGATGTGCTAATGAGGGCCATTTATGATACTGTGCAAACATACTCAAACCAACGACCTGTGAATAGTCTAATTTTTCCTAAAAGCCTGGATATTGGTTGTTTCTGCATGTGCCCAGGTCACCTGATGCTGAAACTCATTTTGGATCTTGTACTTTTCCACTCAAGGTAAGAGAAGTTTGAACTGAATACAAAGAATTCCCCCCTTGGATATAAAGGTGGGAAACCAAACAATAGGGGCTGTTGCCAGGCACTTGGAGACCTCCACTTCCTACTCAAGATGCCTGCTGGAAACATCAAAGACCAAAGAAGGGGAAGGATCAGGTTTGAGAAGGCCCTCATTATCTAGCATGGCAAGCTACCCTCAGATGGAAAGCTGCAGAGTGTGGAGCAGTTTATGCTAATTTTCCTGTATGAGTGTCAGGAATGGGGGGGAGGGGGAAGATATTTGCTTTCCTGGTTGAGCAGGTCCTGAAACACTTTCAATTCATGCAATGAGATAAATAAGGGCAGGGTGACCACTTTGTCTGCAAAGGAAAATATAATGGCTGGAGGTGGGACCAGTTCAGGGGATTTCTCATCTCTGCATTCCTTCTCCCCCTCAGTCTGGGGTTAGAATTAATGATAAATGCTTTGGCAGTGAGGTGGATCTGGCTCAGGAAGCCACAGGTCCTCAGAATGGCTATAGTTGGCATAGGAATTATGGAGGACAGACAAGTGGGTATTGGAAGGGGTACTCCTTGTATGATCCAGGGGTTTCCCAGATACCCTGGTGTAGTCATGACACTGCTATCAGACTCCATGGTGGAATAGCAGGATATTCTACAGCGAATGAAGGTGATCTTTCTATTTTGCTTTATCTTTGCACTTATAATGGAGGTAGCATAGTAGCACTCCTGTAATTTGTCAGAGGGGCAATTTTGGTAATGATCAATCTCTTGGTGCAGTACATGGTGACTGTGCAGTGAGAGAGAATGGTAAATCTCCACCAGGATTTCCACTGATCCTAGGGTAGATACTGGCAGAGGCAGGGGGGGCAAAGTGTACACGGTCAGCTAAGTTAGACCTGTAATGCATGGTATTGGGGAAGAGGGCAAAAATAGGTGCAATATTGTTCTTCTGTGTCAGTGTAAGCACAGGCTTTAAGCTAGTGACTGAGCTATCACCACCAAGGGCTTGGCATAGCTTTTAATTGTAAGAGTCCTCAGTGCCAGGGTAGTAGGGGAAGCCTTCCATCCCTGCCTCCTAGATAGAAATTAGTGCCAGCTTCATTCTTGGAGTGCCATCCTGGTGCCATCACTGCTGTAGCTAATGCAGAAGGTTAGTGAAAGGCAGTACAGGAACTTGGGCAGTGCTTTGATTAGCCACCCTGCCTTGTGTGCATGGATTGGTACTGGATTTGTCTCTGATGGGCTTCCTGGGTCAGAGATTGTTTGCCTTAAAAGCAGCAGAAGGAGTTGCTGTTGCTAATGGTCTTCATAGAATGGTCAAGATTTGAAGCCCTGAGATTCGGGTACACAATCTTGCAGGAATATACATATCTGGGGGTATGCTCTTGAATAGGGAGCGTATATGGGGACTGAAGAGAGAAAGACCACCCCAGGGAGAATAAAATGCCTACACTACTTTTGTTTACAGTATAAAACACTGAAGGAAACCTATCAGAACTAACTAGAATAAACTTTAATTGAAAAACTGAGAAATAGATTGTGATTAAGGAAAATGGACACCACAAATTCTACCTTGTACGATGGGCAACAAAAAAGAACTGAAGATGGGTTGCAGCCACCCAACTCTGAATCCTCTGCTACAGCCACAAAGCGTGCTACTCTATAAATATAATCTGACTTCATATGCATGAGTATGCACAAGAATAGAATCTGTATAGAAAATCATTCAAACGTGTGGATATAAAATAAAGCACATGGCTCCATCATCTTTGCACCTGTAATTAAAGTTACTAACTTCAGTAAAAGTAGGCCCTGACAGTGGTGGGAGAATTGAACAGCATAATGTAGATTTTTTTTTTTGCTGCAGTTCCACTTGTATATTCATAATCTATAAATTTTGCTAGTTTCACTTTATGCAATGTGTAGTTTACTCCCCTGCTTTAACAGGATGATTAAATCACTCCTAATCTACAGCCATTCAAAAATAAAACTTTCTGAAGGAGTTGAGAAGAGTGTCTGTGACAGCGTTGTATGGTCTTTCTCCTGTTGGTGAGTTTGCTGGTCTAATATATTTTAAATTGCAGTAAATGTTGTTCCCCTCTTCACTGCACATGGAAGTAGATGGGGGAATAAAATCCATCTGTTCTTATGTTCACAGAGGCATTTATAATGGAAATACAGGCTAAAACTTTACCTGAATAACACAGTAAGCATTGTATTTCTGTGATTCACAGATTTCTGCACCAAATGAGTTCGATATCATGTTTACCATGCCAGCTCCTAGAGTGGAACTGAAAAACTGTGATGATTCTGGTGCCTTTTATGATGTGAAATTTAAAAGAAATCCTCAAGGAAACAGTCTGGACAAATTTTTACAGAAAGATGGAAAATTAGCAGCCTGTAAGATGCTTTTGGCACTCAGAAACATTATTAAAGAAAGTGTAAAGAGCATGACCAGTAAGTATTTAGTAGACAATATTTTAACTTACAGATGTTACTGTCCAAATTAATGTCTGCATACATAAATCACTGAAAATAATGTTCTATATACAACTTGCGTTCCTGTCAGCAGTGCCTTCCATAGATGTGTGGACAAAATGCAAGAAAAATCTATAAATGTCTGAGCTTTTTTGCAAGAAGAGGAACCACAGACATACCGGGCCTGATTCACTCCAGCGTGTAAAATGGACGGGTTCTGTTGAATTATGATTCTGTTCCTATGCAATAGGCTGCTCTTTGCAAGTTGACAGGAAGGACAGTCAGGGTCTGATCTAGGGCCACACCTATGCTTGCCCAGCAGGCTCACTCAACATGGCCTTCTGCAAAGGTTTTGGTGATAGTCTGGTAGCAAAAAAGAATACTAAAAAAGTAGCTTTTTAAAATTCCTTTTTGCTAGTCCTCCCCAGCTTCAATAGTTTAATAATCTTATTAAATCACTGCTTGTGCTGTAGATCACTCATTCTTCATCTTGTCTCAGTGAAATAGTGCTTTTAAAAAGTAATAGAAATGTAGCTGTGTTAGTCTGGTGTAGCTGAAGCAAAATACAGGACTATGTAGCACTTTAAAGACTAACAAGATGGTTTATTAGATGATGAGGAACAGCGCGACCAGGAACAGCTAACAGGAGAGTTTGGAGAGGGAGTTCTCCAGGTAAAAGAGGAGTAAAAACGGGACCCTTGTGGTAAGTGGCTGTCTGGAGTGTGTGTTTGTGTGTGGGGGAGTTATTTGCAGTGTGCTGAGCTTGTGTTTGTCTGTTTGGTTTGTTTGTTTGCTTTGTTTGAAGGAGCTTCTAAAAGGTTTGAAATCTAGAAGCCTCTGTTAATTGGCTGAGCCTCAGTCAGGGGGAGGGGCTACCAGAGCTATATAAGCCTGTGACTCAGCGGCCAGGGAGAGCGTGACCAGGAACAGCTAACAGGAGAGTTTGGAGAGGGAGTTTGGAGGGGGAGTTTAGAGGGCACTAGTGACTTCTGACCTTCTTTAAAACATAACTGTTAAAATAATCTATACTCCAGAGGTTTAAAAAGAATCCCAGTTTATACTTAAACTTATTCA